TCATAAGGATAGAATCTAATGTATTCGCTCTCAAGACTCTTTTCTAACCATTCCTTGTAAGAGGCAATTGATGTCATCGTTGCTATTGCTGTTTGACTTGAGGTTCTGGCAATCTTCATGCTACACATCTTGAGTGACACTAACTGTGTCACAAACGCCGTGTGTTACAATGACTAATGCAGGTGAACTAATATGGTTAGTATATAAAGTGTCTGAGTGTCGGTATTATTGGCTCCGGCTCATCAAATAATAATACGACAATAATAAGCTATTCATGCGGCCAGTGACCGTGCATAAATTCTATGTTATATATCTCCTACGTCTCGTTTCATAGATAACATTGAATTTTTTATTACTATAGTCATTTCTGGAATCGCATTACGTTTTTTGGTTATAAACGTTTTCATCATCAATACTTTCTGGTATCAAGATATTTTAAGTCAGGCTATTAGATGCCCAGTCTGCCTATGCTTACATAAAAAGTCTTTGGAAGGATATCCATTATACTTTCTAGCTTCTGTATCTCGCAGGGTATTGTTGAAACAGTACGATAAGGAATATTTAATTGGGATTGGATGCAAAAAGGCAAGAGCAGGACCGGTTGAGACATTATTACTTAACTCGATCAGAATTATTAAGGAGCTTTGCCCCTTGTTGATGTTAGACACGAACGTAAGTGATATTGAGCAACGTAGTTTATAATTGTATAGTAATTTCGTATAAAGTCGTATGTGTCGCAGCGTATTTTTTTGGTACATGACGTCAGAATGAATAGTGATTAGTTCGCTTGCATAGTTTTGGATTCTATCTTTGCTTTTAGTAAGTGATATTTTTGTCCGAACATTGAGCGCACGTACATCAGCCAAGTCGAGGATGAACAAGCGTGTGTTTTTTACTCTTGATTATTGGAGAAGAGGTTTAGTATAAAGAAGTTTTCTAAGGTATGCCTGTATGGTAAGGGTAATCGCAACGCAAGAGACTGTTATTGTCATTATAATGTTAATTTGGTTCAAACAAATAATAAATTTTGTAGTTCTGTTACAAAAATAATAGAAATATGGTAGTTGTCAAACTAATTACCATGTTGGGTATACTTAACTAATAAGTGCACAGACAATGACCTAAACAATACAATATAATTCTAAGCAAATATGAGCAATATGTCAATAACTTTCTAAAATATTTTCATATTTTACTTTACATAATAATAACCCTATTATTAGAGAAAGTTACACTGGAAAAACAATGGTTGAATAAAGTGAAAATAAATTTTTTATCTTATTTCACCGAACGAGCGATCAAAGTTCCACAAAAAAATTTGCACCAGTAGAACAACTTAAACTATCATGTGCTTTACGTAGATAGAAAAAAGATAAAATCTTTTATATGGAATGTCATGGATACATTAAGGCATGGGCAAATGTAAAGTACGTTCAATTTTTCAAATCGCTGGGTCGCTTGGCTTGGATTAGTGTAAGATTTATTTGGACATACCTTCGCAACGAATAAGTAATGTTATTATTTCCGACTACCATTTTGCAGATTGTGAGTATAATAAGCGCGAAAAATAAGAACAGGAACACATGAAAATTGAGTGCAATCTTCAAAACGATGGTCATTAACTGACCGCACATTTGAAACCTGAAATCCGTGATGAAAGAATGTGCATTTCAATTGGTATTTGTGAACGATACAACTAGCTAATTTAAATTACATTCACTTTTAACCGGCAAAACTTCTGTGTTTGGATGTGTGCAAAATTTTTTTGTTGGCCATACTAATACGGTTACTCAAACTGCTTTAGTACTTTATGAAGTTAACGTATACTTATTCGATAATTAATTAAACATTACGATTAGTAAATAGTAATACAAATAGTGTATTTTTGCTAACTAGCATTTTCAACTTGTCGTTTGGAGTTCGTTCTTTGAATTTAAACATTTTTTCTAATACTTGTATTATAGACATAATACAATAATATACTTATTGGACCTGGCCGCTCCCACATCTTGAAATTGGCCGAAAACCGTGGTTAGTTATTTGCTAATATACTATGTGTAATATGCCTCCGTTCTATTCTACGGACTATCGGAACCAAATCCACCGCCGACATAATTATAGCGTAAATTGATAGTCGAGAATCTGTGTTATACCGATCGGTTATGTGAGTATAAAAATACGAATACTAGCTGATTAGCGATGAAAGCGGGAACAGAGGTCAACTGCCTCGATTGAATAAGTTAAGTCCAACGCTAATTACCGAATGCTCTTCCGCGGTAGTTGGCTTGACAATGACATTAGTGCATATGGCAACAATAATAGTTTTCAAAGAAAAACGCAAGACATGTTATTGGAGTTGTAATGTTTCTGTTAACCAAATTCTGTAAAGATGCTACCAGTAGAATCGTATACTTACGTGTATTTACTGCGTCAATAAAAATTCAAGCAAAAATTCTATACATTGTGTCAAGCACGTTTTTTGTGGGGGTCGATGTTTGACAATGCTTGAGTCTCTTGAAAACGGGAACACACATGTTTCTCCTCGCGTTCTATATAAACTCTGTATTTATTAAAATAACGCGGCTCCTTGCTTTTATCTCAAGACACCTTTTTGTGTGTGCAAAATTCTACTTTTCACACACCTTTTTAGTTGATAAAAAATCCTAAGCCATAATTTATACTCATTCGTCTGTCCTATCATTCTTATGGCTAGTTTTTTTTTTGGTATAAACGCTCTGAGGTTTGAAGCCACATTTATTTGCTTCGAATTAACTGCCCAAGATCGCCGAAACATACTCAGTGTTTTTTTGATTCACGTGATTAAATGTTTCCATTCGTAATACAGTAATAATTTATGGTGCAAAAACCGACGTTGTAGCTGCGATTACAGAGTTGAGACAAAATAGGTAAGGATAAAAATATGACGTAGACAATTTGTGGCAGCATTAGCATGCCATTCTGATGTCGGATAACCGGAAAAATGGCACATAGCGAGTTGTTCCTAAAATTTGAGAAATATGAATTCGACCGCGACGAAACGTTTCAAGTAAGGCTGTTCATTAATTTCACATTGTTTTGATAATGCGACTAAACCATGTCAATTATATATATAGAAAGGTTTGCAAAGTATTCTAGCTTCTCGTGAAGACAAACCACAGGAAAGAGAGACATTGATACAAAAGGCAAAATTCTTTTATTTCTTGAAGTAAGTATAGCTGATATAGAACTCGTTAACAGAACCGTTTATTCATTTGATTGTCTCTTGTAATAGAACTGTTAATACAAAAATCGACTATGATGAGTACATAGCGTGGAAGCTGAATGTAAACAGCGTTGATAATTCGTCAACTGAGACAGAAGTCTGCCCGCCGCAAAATGATGTAAATGCACAACTTACGTCGCAAAATCTAGAGATATCGACAACAACAACTTCTGGTAAAAGTAGCACTTCTTCATCTGCATCACATATTCCCATTCATCAGTACTTATCCTTCATAAAATGTTTCAGATAACAATCCACCGTATTCTCGCTCATTTCAAGAAATAGTCAAAATGATAGCAGCCGGCGAGATGCCACCAGGTACGAATTCATCTGGCATTCACACAAAAGGACGAGCCAAATTTGTTTCTTATATTAAGCATTTTCTTCCACTAGTGCGACAAATCCCTGACGAACTCAACAAAAACCCTCCAAAGCCGTCAACCATGGAACCAAAACAAAAGCCGTGGAAACGAGTCTCTTGAATCTTGACGGATTTTTCATTTAAGGTATTGCATAAATTTCTTCACCTGATAGTTATCGCAATTCTATATCACTTAACGTATTAGAACGCTACCCGATTCCGTTTTGAGCGAGAGATAGTTGCTTGTTATTTTCATTCGGATCATGCTCAACTCTCCTTCATGAAGGACGCATCGAATCGATACCTTTGTCTTAGTCTCCCGATGAGATTCCTCCCTCTTGACTGTTGGCTCCGCCGAACCAATCTGATATTCTAATTCTGGCTTCGCCCCCATCTCTCGTATTTTAGCGCAAATGACATTGACCCCCTTCCGGTATCAAGACGCGAAATGAAAGTGACGGATGTGAAAAGCCTTGTATTACGATTTATTGATAAAGCAGCGAGGCGTTGGCCGACGTTCTTCGGGAAAGGGAGAGTAATTTCAATATTGAGACAGGGAAATAGTATCGCTCTCTCTGATTTTCGTAATCAAGAAAAGGAAATTGTAGCATGATTGATGCATTGTTTTGTACGGATTGCATGCAGACTGCGATATAGAATAACGTTGTCTACGTATTGTTTGGCTTTGAATAAACCTTCGCCTTTGGTTGGAAATTATCAAGACTCGGCAACAATAAAAAACGCGAAACGGACTATATAGGATCGAATCGATGAAATTGTGCAAACCTATTTTCTCCATTCATTCTCTCCCGATTCGTTCTTTGCATTCTCTCTTTGAAATCATCTCGTTCATACTTCAAACCACCGTCCCCTAACGGCTATATGTCCGAGGGGTATACGTTCATTCGAGCATTGACTGAAATACCGTAATAAAGTAGAAACGAAGAAATTAAGCTTAAAAGTGATAAATTGTTCTCACGCATTGCTTATGCAGATCACATATACTCGTGACCTGCGTTCAGTTCTGCCAGAATTAGAAGAAAATTAAACATTAAATATTTGGAACGGCATGGTAATCAAGTTACTGTGAGTTGCGAATCTGAAAAGGACGGCGGCTCAGTCTATCCATTATCATGACGGAAACCGTTGTCCACCGCGTCGCGATTGTAGGTGGTGGTCTCGTTGGAACGCTTGCAGCTATATATTTTGCTAACCGCGGTTGGCAAGTAACCGTTTTCGAGCTCCGAAAAGGTATGATTTTGTTGAGAATATGACCTGTTTGTATAGACTTTTCTTCTAACTTATTCGTTGTAGATCCTAGACATGAGGATAATGCCTTGCTATCAAATAGATCTATCAATCTGGCTTTGTCTGTTCGAGGTCTTAATGCGTTGAAAAAGCTTGGTCTTGGTCTTCATGAACAAGTCCTTGACTCGGTTATACCGATGAAAGGCCGAATGTTACATGTTGACAGAGGAAGGCTAGTAAGCCAACCTTATGGTGTTTTTGGCGAGGTATCTTTGCAACAATTTGCAGACGTTCGACACGTTCCGTATTAGTTTGCATAGTCTGACGTGCTATACTGCTAATAGTGTATCAATTCGATTGATCGAGCTCAACTACTTAACTTGCTTTTGAATACTGCCGAGGAACTTGCCAATGTAAAAATATTATTCGAACATCAATTGAAATATTGTGATTTCGACTCTGGGATGCTTTTGTTGGAGAATCAGTATGTATATTTAATGATTTGTTAGCTGAACGCTTTGTAAATACTCATCGCGTAAGTTTGCGTCAAAGCTCGAATGGATCGGAAGTGAGGCAAACGGTAGATTTAATTGTTGGTGCAGATGGCGCTTACTCAACGGTCCGGAATCAGCTTATGCGTTCTGTGAGGATGAACTTTCAGCAAGAGTACATTCCACATGCGTATTGTGAATTAAACATCCCGCCTGTGACGGATGCTAATGGGCGGTCAAAATTTGCAATGGATCCGAATCACTTGCACATATGGCCACGTCATTCATTTATGATGATTGCTCTACCGAACACGGTCAGTCTTGCTTGATGTTTTTGCGCGCGCAAAGTTTTTATTTTTGATTAACTGGAAATTTATTTAATTATACTTTAGAATAAGTCGTTTACGTGTACTCTTTTCATGCCATTCGAAGAGTTTGGAGCCATTAAAACGGAAAATGATTTAATGTCATTTTTTCAAAAGCACTTTCCCGATTCGATACCGCTTATGGGCGAACAGAATCTCAAAGACGAGTACTTTCGTAATCCCAAAGGCCCGATGGTGTCTATCAAGGTATGTGTAGACAGATTACATTTATTGGGTTGGGATATTGTTTGCACAAAGCTTCGAACAAAAAGGGTTGAATATCAATTTGCTTTTTATAGTGCACACCATACAACTACAAAGATCGCGGCATAATTATAGGAGATGCTGCTCATTGCATGGTACCATTTTATGGGCAAGGAATGAACTGTGGCTTTGAAGATGTATTCCTGCTAAATGATTTCCTGGATAAATATAACGTTGATGATGCCAAGGACATCAACGAATTTAGAGAGTCGTTAAATAGAGCATTAGACGCGTATACTGAACGACGACACACGGATGCGGCAGCTATTTGTGATCTTGCGATGCGGAATTACATTGAGATGCGTTCCGATGTGGTTAAACCATTGTATATCATAAGAAAGAGAATCGAGGGTGCCCTACATGCGATATTTCCGAAATATTTCATACCTTTGTATACAATGGTTAGCTTTTCAAATATTCGATATTCAGAGGCTGTCTACAGATGGAAGCGACAAGGATTATGGTTGACGATAGCGGCTGCAACATGTGGCGTTTGTTCAATAACCAACTTGCTCTACTTGGTATTACGATATTCTCGCATTACACGTTTCAGTCGATGGTTCATATCAGACAGTTAATTTAAAAGGGTCAGAGAGTTTATATGGTCAAGGAGATGACATTGGTATAGCTTCATTATCGGTTAATATCGGGAGACGACTAGTCTTTGAGTTGGCGTTTATCTGCTTGAGTATTATGTATACTAACTACGTGACATTGGTTGTCTATGTAATAATAAGTAATAGTAAAATTGTTGACACAGTAGTAAGTTGTCGAATCACTATTTGTTATTTGTCAGGGAAACTCGCTTGAATGGTTCGTTTATGAGGAATCCCACATGACTTGCAGAATCAATTAATAGACGTAGCAATAATAAAAAGCAAAGTAACTTCTTCATCCGTACGTTGATGGTGGCCGAGTAGTCTCGTGGTTAGAATCATCCTGTTAATGAGGCGCTAAAGAAAATTACTCTATTATGTCGTTAGAGTCTTAGCAGTTTGATCATTACTCGCAAAATAACCATGTAAACGGTTGGAGTAAGTGACTATACGATCTTCTGCACAATGGGTGTCAATAAACAAACTGTCTATCAAATCATTGTAGAAGATCAGTTGAGTGGATAAAATGAAAGATGAAACAACTTTCGCGTCTGCTTTTATTCTCTCTGGTCAATGGTTTTGTTATAATAATAAGCTTAATATCAAATAATGATTCTGTCCAAATTCTTATGGACTAATGGGTTTCTACTACCAAATCGTCGACATTAAGTATAAATTACATTCAACCGTTAGATGATTTAATTCACCACAGTTTTGAAGCCTCGTACTATAGTTTTAATGGAGATTGAGATTATTCAGACAGTCAATAATGCTCTCCTGAAGAATAATTTAACAGGAAAGCCTGTCAAATATTTTCCTAATGCAATTACGAAAGCAATTAAGTATTTATTTGCGGTATGTTGTTCATGATACATAAGCAACATAGTTGAACTTTTGTCACAAGTCGTACAAGACGTGAAAAGAAAATTCAATTCCACAAAGCCTTGTTGTTGCTTTCATAGAATTACAGTTTTCTAATATTGCATCGCGTAAAACGTATAAAGAATATCAACACGTCTTTTTGACAAAAAGAATATTTGTGGAGTAGAAGAGAAGCATAGTCTTGTTGAATGCGCTAAACGATCAGATATGTTGTTTGTTCTTTTATGCAACAAAAAAACTTGAATAATTATTCAAACACGTTATTGTTATGCACTGACTGGATTATTACTTTAATGCCAAGTTACAATTAACCATTGTTTTGAACGTTGATCACAAGATCAAATCAGATTTTGCGTAACAGATATACCTGATATTGACATTCTGTAACACCATCTGATTAAAACCTAACATACCGCGTTCAATCTGCATTCATTTTTTATACAAGTTATGTTGAGCACCAGATCTACGGATAACAAATAGACATAATGACGGACAAACGCTTCGATGCTGATAAAATGATCGAAACGTCAAGCAGTGCCGATGAAACCGCAATACGAGGTGAAGAAATCGACGAATTCATTTACTCCGACGACGACCAAATGAATGGGGGCGCCCAGCGGAATGGCGACTACGGGTCCGCCGACGGTGCTCAACCGAATGAAGAAAGGATGGTGGCTGACGAATACGCCGAAGACGTTGGAGGCCCACAAATGCGAGGCAAGCTGGACGAACAGTCAGGAGATGGGAATGAACATATTAATTTAGTGTATGAGGTTGAAGCTGTCGTTGGACATCGTCTAAAAAAGGTGAAAGAACTGACATATTGGGTTGGGATGCGTGTGTGTCAAAGGGGAAATGAGATTATTTGCATAAAGTGATAAATAGTTTATTGTTATGTACTAGCCCATAGCGATATACGCAGGAGTTAGTAGTAAAAACTGTAGTAAGGAGAAAATGTGGGAAGGAGGGGTGAGTAATCTGTGTGATCTTGGATATGGTTGTAAATTTTGTTTTCTTGCTGTTCTGTCATGGAGTAGGGAAGGATTCAGTATCTTATCAAATGGAAAGGTAAAAGCGAAGATCTATGTGTTTGTATCATGTTTGTTAGGACTGCATGTCGAGTAATCACTTTTTGCACTTGTTTATATAGGCTATCCAACCGAACAAAATACATGGGAATATCGTGATAATGTGTACGTTTGTTTTCATAGAAAAAAATCGGCTTGTTTTTTCGGTAAATGGTAATCCGTCTTTTACGATGGATGCTTACATTACCACTTTTTTTTTTAGCTACTGTGAATCATTATTAGGCAAGTACTGGGATTCAAAAGAAGAACTCGTGAAACAGGATCCGACAAGACAGCAACCTACCAAATCACCGCCAGCAAAGTCAAAAAAGTCTGCCAAGAATCAGTCATCTCGCAAAAGTGATAAACGCAAGAATTCACGTAACATTCGTAGTAAAGAAGAGAGCGATGAGGATGAGATATTCGAATCAAAGCCAAAGTCAAAGTCAACTTCTCGAAGTTCAAAACAATCTTCAAGTAAATCGACGAAAAATTCGAAAACAGGTTCAAGATCCCATACTAATAGAACTTTAAGTGCCGCTCGATCAGAGACGGAGGATGATGATGAGGGTGAGGACGAAGACAGAGATGAGGATTCTGGTGAAAAGGAGGGAAAAGAGGAGGGAGAAGAGGAGGAGACGGACAGAAAAGAGGATAAAAATAATACTGAATACGATGATGGTACAAACGATAGTCGCCGGTTAAAAAAACGCAGAGTAGATACGTCCGGCTCGAAAACCAAAAGCAATCCCATTGACGACAATCAAATGATGATTGAGCAATCATCACCTGAACCGGATGACGAAGAATTCTGTCCGGCTGAAATCGCTGGCAGTTGGGAACCGCACATCAAAGAAGTACAAACTGTACAGATGGCTGAGGATGGGCAGTTGATGGTGTATTTGAACTGGTGCGTGTGTTTGGAGTGTCGTCATACTTGTATGGTGAAAAGCTTTAAGATTAGTTGACGCCACCCATCTCTTTATGGCTTTCAACGCTGCTACCGCTTGTTGTTTAAATTATTATTCATGCTCATACTTTTTCTTTACAGGATAAATGGTCATACAACTGCTCATTCGGCAAAGTTAGTTAATGCCAAATGCCCGCAAAAGGTAAGTCGGTTTTCCTACCAGTATATAACAACCACTTTTGGTAATCCCATCTCATCGCGACGCGCATTATCATTAGATAATTTCGTTCTACGAGAACAGACTTCAGTTTACATCCAGCAAGAAATCCCGTTGACACGTGACACATTCTCGTTGCCGAAACGAACACATAGGACGGCTAAAGAAAAAAAAAGTTTAATCATAATACTTTATGTTTCAAATAAACTATGCATATGGACTATCAGCCATTACAGTAAAAATTTCTCGGCCGTTTCAGCTATTTTTCAGAGAACTTTTAGCATTTCTCATTGGTAAAAATATTACTTCAATAAGCTTTTCCAGGGCTTGTGAGGCTCTGAATGCCAACTACCCGTACCTTCTGGCTATAAGCGAGGTGAGACGTTGACAATACATTTCCCCTTTAAGAAGTGTGTGAGACGCAGGGAAAATGCAGGATAATGGGGAAAAGATACTCGTTTCTGACTGTTGATCTTCCACTACTTTTAAAAAAATGATTCTCTCCTTTAGTTTTTTGACATTTACTGTTTCGTCTTTAATTTATATTCAAGTAATAACATCTTATAAATTACAGTACGTTAGAAAAAAAAATTGGCGTTTCTTTTCTTTTATTACAATAGCTTTATAGAAACTGTTTTAATTTTAATGTGTGATGGCTTGCAAAGCGAGGTTTTTTACAAAGTGTGAAAAAACCCATACGTTATTAATAATTCGTTCACCTTTGTCTATTACTTGCTGACAGTCATACGCTGATGAAATAAGGTTAGTCAAAAATTCATTGGGAATATTTCCTGCTCCATCACATATTGCTGCAGCTCAAGAAATATTACATTTTCAGCACAATGTTTAACAATTGTCCACAGATTTTCAATAGGATTAAAGTCTGGATTATTAGACGGCCTGTCCATAACGTCAGGGAAGTTTTTGCTTTTAAAAACTCCTTGGCTGCATATGCTTCAGGTCATCATTCTGTTGACATCTCCAACTACTTGCAAGTATTTTCTTGATCTTTGCATCCATTAATACATATAAAGCAGTATAAACTTTTGGCACAATATTCACTCTAGGTAAAAACACTTTGGTGACAGGCTAGTATTGAAAAGTTATTTTATCTGAAATAAAGTTACGGTTTATTTAAGTATTTATGACTTGTTTTGCTTTTCGGGTCAGCGTTAAGCATTGATAATTCGTAAGACCAAGCTTCTCTTGATCGTTACGCGATAGAATTTAACTCCATCCCTAGTGGCCAAGGTCCGCAAGGATAGGATTGTCTCTTCACAGATGTATATATTGCTCTACCTATCACTTCAGCTCACACGCAATATATTTTCTCGTTGTATAAGAGCTTTATTGAGATTCCAGAAACGTACTAGCGCTTGGCGTTGAGAATTAAGCTTGTTCTTTAAAGCACAAAGAATAATTTATAAATGTGAGTTTAAGAATTGTTATCTTTACATTTTTGCCAAAATTGGATCTCACGCGTTTTTATTTCCTTTAATATGGAAAGAGTGCGTCAAATTTTGTGTATAAAAGCCGATTTTGGAGGTATAGAACAAAGTCAGGTTAATTCTCGAAAATCATAATCTTTAAACTTTAATTTCATTAAACATTAAGTTGTGTCACCTTGGTGTCCTATAGGGCTGGGATAATATGAGATATCTTTTATTATTATGGGCAGGCATTGTTATTAATTCCGGATCTTGCGAGTGGGATATTTGTAGTCTATATAGACTACAAATATCCCACTTAGTCGGGACTATAACTATCCCAATGGGAATTAGC